TTGGCCCAACTTAATCTTTCTCACATTTCTCCCTCAAACATGACCCTTCGAAGTTAACAGCAACATGTTCAAACCATCATCTTGAAGTTTGCCTCACATTCAAGATGTAATTGATCAGAACCAGAAAACATAAGAATTTAAGCAGCTAAAATAGTATTTTTCAAAGTGTGATCCAAGGACCAGGTGCATGAGAGTGGCGAGGTGCTTATTAAGATACAGATTCCTGGGCCCCAGCCAAACCAACTGAATTCGAGTTGACAGGACTCAGGAATCTAAATTTAACAAGCTCCCCAAGCGATTCTTCCGCTTTGACAAACCCTGAATTAGCTGTATTCTCTCGGCATCCACACTCACATGGAGCTTCAATGCCCTAATATGTAATCTCCCTGAGTCTGAAATGCATTACTCTTGGGACTAATCTGGCAAAGAGAAAGCAGGGTTTCAGAGTCAGAGACCTGGACTGAAATCTGGTTCTACTACTTGCTATCTATGTGAGCTTGAACAAGTTACTTAATTTTTTCCAGGACTCAGCTTCTTCATTGATAACATGTGGGTAAGAATACCTACTTCATAAGGATGTTGCTGCAATTAAACATGAGAATGAGAACAATGGTAGCGGAAGCCTATCATTCTCTGGAACATTTATTGAGGCCTACATACCATTTACAAGATGAATAATACATTATTAGGCACTGTACTGCATACCATATATATCAGGACGACGGAAACATCGCCCATCTCAATTTGTTTTTTGTCTGTTCTTTGCACCTGTCCCTTTGTGGTTAAGGTATAAATAATTTTTGAAGCCTTTTCCAACCATGATGCTGTTTTCTAACAGAATCCCATGAGGAGCGCCTGGATGGCTCAGTCGGTTGCATCCGACTCTTGACACTGGCTCGGGTCATGATTCCAGGGTCGTGGGATTCTCTCTGCCTCTCTTCTCCACTCACGTGCGCTCATGCTAATAAAAAAAAAAAAAATTAAAAATAAAGAATCCCATGAAGTAATGTAGACATTTTCTCCCTTGAACTGTCTGAAGGCTCCTTACCACTGGACTTATGCCACGTAAGTCGTGAACCTCTAGCATGGACTCAGCCTGAATCTTCTTCTCATCTCTTACCCATCTCTTGCCAATTTAGAGGACCTAGAGGGATCAAACGTTGGTTCTGTTGCTGCTTATTAATACAAGGCCTTGGTGAAGTTACTGTGCCTTAGTTTCCTCATCTGTGCCATCAGGAAAATAACAGTGCCTATTTTGTGGAGATTTTACAAGGATTAGGTGATACTTAGTAAGCACTCTGGAAGTGTTAGCTGTTCTCATTGTCACATTGCACCCACACTAGCAGCTGCTTCTTCTGTTCTCTGAGGGCTCTACGCTCCTTCTCACGTCAGGATTTTCACTATTGCCTCTGCCTGTGATGCACTCTGCCTCTTCTCGTGGCCAACTTCTACTTGGTCTTCAGGCTGAAGTGTCATTTCTTTTTTTTTTTTTTTTTTTTTTTTTTTTTAAACGTTTTTTTATTTTTGGGACAGAGAGAGACAGAGCATGAACGGGGGAGGGGCAGAGAGAGAGGGAGACACAGAATCGGAAACAGGCTCCAGGCTCCGAGCCATCAGCCCAGAGCCCGACGCGGGGCTCGAACTCCCGGACTGCGAGATCGTGACCTGGCTGAAGTCGGACGCTTAACCGACTGCGCCACCCAGGCGCCCCTGAAGTGTCATTTCTTTGAGAAGGCATCCCAAACCACCCCCGCCCCACACACTTCTTAACAAAGTCGGTTAAAAACCTCTTTTAAACACTCATTCATTCTGTAGTTTTCCTTTGCAGCCCTTATTATAATTCAATGTTTGTTTACTCTATTAAAATAGAGGACATGTCTGCCTCACACTGCTCGGTATCCACCCTGATACTTAGCACGATTCTGAATCCACAGCACTCATAAAAATATTTTAAATATTTGATGAATGAATGATTTCTTAAATCTGACTATGCCCAATTTTCTCTCTTCGGATTGTAACAACCTCTCAAAGTCAGTGACTTTTCTGCCCAGGGGCAAACTTCACTCCCTTTACTTTCTGAGATAAAATTTTCAGAAATGCAAATCAAGAACTTAACAGATGCTTCACTTTTGGCTGAATGAGACTCCCACAGGTATGTGTCTTGACTCCAAGCTACTATACATCTGCACTGATCAATATGGTAGCCACTACCAAATGGGGCTACTGAGAACCTGAAATGTTGTGAGTCCAAAAGTCCAAAATGAGATGTGCTAGAAGTGTAAAATACACACTGGATTTTTAAAGATTTGGTACAAAAAAGAATGATAAGTAGCTCATAGTTTTTAATACTTATTACCTGTTGAAATAGTATCTTGGAAATATATACAAATAAAATACATTATTAAAATTGATTTCCTCTGTTTCTTATTACCATTTTAAATGTGTCTACTAGAAAATTTGCATACATGGCTTGTATTAGATTTCTATTGGACAGTGCTGTTTTTTTGTTTTTTTTTTTTCAACGTTTATTTATTTTTGGGACAGAGAGAGACAGAGCATGAACGGGGGAGGGGCAGAGAGAGAGGGAGACACAGAATCGGAAACAGGCTCCAGGCTCTGAGCCATCAGCCCAGAGCCTGACGCGGGGCTCGAACTCACAGACGGCGAGATCGTGACCTGGCTGAAGTCGGACGCTAAACCGACTACGCCACCCAGGCGCCCCTGGACAGTGCTGTTTTACACCACCTGCCTGAAAGGTATGTCGTATTTTGCTACAACATCCCATTTCCTCTCATCTTTGCTGCTGCTGTTTTGTAAATGTTTATTTATTTTTGAGAGAGAGAGAGAGAGAGAGAGACCAGAGAGACAGAGAAAGCAGGGGAGGGGCAGAGAGAGATAGGGAGGCACAGAATCTGAAGCAGGCTCCAGGCTCTGAGCCGTCAGCACAGAGCCGGAGGCGGGGCTTGAACTCGTGAACTGAAAGATCATGACCTGAGCTAAGTTGAATGCTTAACCGTTACCTATGGAGCCACCCAGGTGCCCCCATTTCTTCTCATCTTAATTCTTACGGAGGAGTACTCCAAATTCTTTCATAGTCTTTCTCAGTATTGACATTTCAGATGCATGGCTTCTTTGTGAACGCGTCTGATTCTTTAAAATAGGGTAGTTTCCTACTTAATCTTGGGTTTCATAACACCAAATCCCAACAAACTGGAGACTTACCATCCTGTGGCTATTTTATTATTTATACTATAATCACTATGGTTAACAACACAAGATCTGGGGCCAGGCCACCTGTTTTGGGAGTCCTGGCTCCCCTACTTACTAGCTAACTATGCTGCAAGGATCTCTGTGTTTCAATTTCCACAACTGAAAGATGGGAGATGATACAAGTGTCTAGGACAAGAGGATTAATTGATATTGGCAAAGCATCTAGAATGGTGCCTGGCATGCAGTACTCATTCAATAAATGACTCCTATTTATGTCATTCTACACATCCTCGACCCTTCCCACCTACTCATATATTCTCTTACATCACTGGGCACCTGTTCTAGTGTTCCGTTTTTTCCAAAGCTGAGAGATTTTATGCTCAGATCTTCTAACTTCAACTCTGCTACTCCCCAGCTGAGCACTTGGGTAAGGTACTTAGCCTCCCTCACTTTTCAATTCCTTTATCTGTAAATGAGAGCGGATACTGCCACATTCTTCGCCTAAGTTTTAATAACGTAATGTATGTATGAGTTCCTCGCGTGGTCCTTGGCACCCAATCAATGCCTCCTGTGCATTTTCTGGTTTAACACGTCAAGTCCTCACAACACACCATAAGACAGGTATTTTATGAAGAAAGAAACAGGATCCTGGAAATCAAGACTTGCTCAAAGTTGCACAGATAGCTAGTCCAGCCAATGCTGGACGCGGTTTCACTCCGAGTCAAATGTTTTTTCGCGAAACCAAAGCTGCTCCCCAAATGCACGAGCGCCAGAACTAAATTAATTCATGCTGTCTACGGCATTCCGATGTTTGGAGAAATGCATAAACCATCGATGTCTACTGCCGTGCTGCCCACGGAAACTGCAGCAGAAAATCAAACTACAGATTTTGTTAATAGCATTATTAAGATCAAAGAATACGAAAGCCCCAGAGTCAGCGACGTGTCTGAAATTCAGTAACCAAAATAAAGCGACGGGTTTCTGCTCCAGCCCCCCGACAAAACTGCGGGCCGAGGGAAGGAGGTTCAATGGTCGGGCCTACGGGGCAGGGCCTCCCCAAGACGGGGAGGAGGCCACCGCCGTGCCAGGCCGCCGGATCCTCCTCCTCGGAGCTCGGGGCCCAGTGCCCAGCGTTGCACCCGCCCGCCCCTCACCTCCGGCTCCGGGCGCTCCGAGGCCATCACACAGCCCTCCCGCGCCGGCCCGGGCCAGAGAAGATGCTCCACTCGTGACCCCTGACCCGGCTACAAGCGTCCCGCAGGAACCGGAAGTGAGTGGGAGGACCGAGTTCTGAGTTTCCTGATTGGGGGACGAAGACCTCTCAGCGAGGCTCTCGGACTAGGAAACCGGAAGGGGAAGTCGTTGCCGCCTACACTGACGCCGCAATGCAGGTGAGAGCGGGGTTGGGACCGTTGACAGCTAGCTGGTTTCGGGTAGCGGGGTCGATAGTGGGCTGGCCGAGGGGAGGGTGAGGAGTTGGGGCTGAGAGGAGGGGTTAGAGCCCGCAGCTGATGAGTAAGGGACCGCGGGATGGGGGGCGCGACCGACTGGAGAGGTGGGGGTGGGGCCCGGACTGCCGAGTCGTGTGGAAAGAGGCCCCGCTGACTTGCTGGGGTGCTCGAAAGGGTCAGGCTGTAAACTGGCAAAGTTGAAATGCGATCCAAGGAAGATGGCTCAAGAAGGAGGCGTGTTGGCTCAGGCCCCGGCCCGAGTCGTTGGATGGACTCTGTTGGGTGCAGACGTAACAGGGGATCTGGAATTGGAGAGTAGCCCGAGAGGTGAAGGAATTGTTGGGCGGGGGGCGGTGGCCAAAAGCTAAGCTAATTATAATCTGAGGCTGTGGGTGGAACCCAGGATCCAGGCCCCTGTCTTGCACGTTGGCGAGTTTGCAAGACAATTTTGCATCTTTCTTCCCAGCCTGAGCCGGTTAGTTATTAAGGATGGAGAAATGAAGTAAAACTGGAGACCCCAGATGGGAGGAAAACGCTTTGCGGATACCCCAGCATTTAAAATTGTTTTTCTGGTGCTCAGGAGCATATGCATTTTGTTTTGTTTTGTTTTTCACTTGCCACTTACTTTCTTGCACCTGGTCCGCTGTCAGTAAATGTTTTTCAGTTGACTGAGCTTGTGAAAGAGATACAGAAATATTGGCATTGAGAAAAAAATGGGTGCCAATTAATTCAGCAAGAAGAAGCTTGAAAACATCAAATGCTGAGGGCAAATGAAGAGTGGGAGGTGGGGGGGGTGGTACAAACCTGGTATTCAGGGAAACCTTCATGTGTAGGTAGGTTTCCCAGGGATTGTGTCTTTGGCAAGACTGCCACGCTCACAAGGCAGGTTCTAGTACAGGAGAAGTTGGAGTACACGTGCTGCAGGGGTTCACAAAAGATTATAAAGCCCAGGCATTAGGTCTGGTGAAAATGTCTCAGTGAGAGAGTATAGAGTGTATCTAACACGGAGAAAAGCCAGACGTGAATTAGGAGACGATGAGAGAAAGGAGGAATTGAGGTCAGGCGAATGGATTGAAAGGTCTGAGGGTTGATGCTGTCTGTAACCCAAATACCAAAGATAGAAAACCTGGCTCTCCTGTGCCAGTGAGATCCTGTGTTTCTCGACTGGTGTTGCACACTGTCATCCTGGCTCTTCAGCCTTCCTCTGTATGTGTCATACACCTATCTGGGTAACCCACCTGTTCCTGTTGGTGCAGAGGGAGGAGAAGCAGCTTGAGGCATCATTAGATGCACTGCTGAGTCAAGTGGCTGATCTGAAGAACTCACTGGGGAGTTTCATTTACAAGTTGGAGAACGAGTATGACCGGCTGACCTGGTAAGGGTTGCCAGGGTAAGCCAAGGAGGGCTCCATGGGTGGGGGGCTAGGCCTCCTGGTGGACCGGGTATCTCCAGTGATAGCACAGTTTATCACTTTGCAAACATCTTTTGGTTTGGTAAGAGCTGGGTTTCCCAACATTTAACAAGTGAAATTTGGCTTAGGGCCTCTCTGGCAAGGAAGTAGAGAAATGCCTAGTTTCCCAACCCAAGGTCTTTCTAGCTTTTGATTCTCACCCTTTGACATCTCTGGGAGGAGGTACTCCCTCAGTAATCCACCCACTCTAGTAAGAATGCAGTGTTCATCCTGGGTCTCTTACCACAGTTGCTGCTGAGTCTTTTCAGGTCCAACCTACTATGGAAGTGTGGATCCTATTTTCAGGCCGGAAAGGAGAATTTTACCCAGTTTCTGAGTTTTTAGTGATAAGTATAGCCATGGTTCTTATTTTGCCACTGGATCTCACCCCATTCAAGTAACAAACTGCCTTATTTCTCCATCTCTGCTAGAAACTGAAAGTATGTCCCTCTTTCCTAACCCCACAATCCCTGGGGCCAGTCTGGTACCTGCGCAGTCCAGCTGTAGTACAATGAGTCTTTTTGGGGTGAGCCTGGGTGTTCCTAGTCTGTAGGACCCCTTCAAGGCTACTTGACTGAGACATTCTGACGCTTCCTTATCACCACCAGGCCCTCTGTTCTGGACAGCTTTGCCTTGCTCTCTGGACAGTTGAATACTTTGAACAAGGTCTTGAAGCACGAAAAGACACCACTGTTCCGTAACCAGGTTATCATCCCTCTGGTGTTGTCCCCAGACCGAGATGAGGATCTCATGGTAAGAGGAGGAGAAGGGTACAGTGTGGGAAATTAAATTCTTAGATGAGAACTTAGAGCATAATTGTTGCTGGGTTACTTTAGAAGTTCTGAATGAGGAGTAGTTTGTGGCAATAGAAAGCAAAGGCTGCATTTTGGAGGCCTTGCTTTTTGTCCCTCTAGAGTTGAGGAGCCACTCCCCAATAGTACCAAATAACCCTGAGGCTTATGTCCCCAAGGCAAAGATCTTTCTTCTCCAAGACCTATCTTGAGCAAGAGGTATGTTCTATTGTGATTTTGTCTATTTCAATCTTTTATTAAAATGTAGCAAAGGGAAACTTGCCCCTGGGTCTGGTAGAAACCTGCGTGAGGAGACAGAAATGAAGCATGGAGTAAGCGGACTAGTGTCCTAGGAAGCTAGGTATTGGAAGTGTCAGGTGGAGTCTTCCCTGAAAATGTACTATTTGCCTGTGGAAGGAACTATATATCGGGCCAGATCAACTCTTCGTGAATTGCATAGGAGGATCAGTAAAATCTGTGTGTTACAGCGGCAGACTGAAGGACGAGTGCCTGTTTTCAGCCATGAGGTGGTCCCTGACCATCTGAGAACCAAACCTGATCCTGAGGTTGAAGAGCAAGAGAAGCAACTAACAACAGATGCTGCCCGCATTGGTGCTGATGTGGCTCAGGTTGGACTGAGTCCCTGCCCTGCTGCCCCCTAGTGCCCTGAACCCCATCGTGAGAAGCTAGGATTTACCGTGTGCGCCTGGTAGGGATGCATGGTTTACCCATAAATTGCCCCTGGAGGAGCACAAGGAAGAAACTTCACCGTCATCATTTCTGGTCAATGGCCTGATCTCTGCACAAATGTATGTTTGTTACAGAAGCAGATCCAGAGCTTGAATAAAATGTGCTCAAACCTCCTGGAGAAAATCAGCAAAGAGGAGCGGGAATCAGAGAGTGGAGGTATGGAGGGACTGGTGGCAAAATGGAGAAGGAAAAGGAGGATAGATCACTGGGATAGGAATGGTGGTTTGGGTAGTGGCGAGGTGAGGACGTAAGAATGAACTGCTTAGGAAAGGGTATGCTATGTTCTGTTAGCTTTTTGTGGTTAGGGCTTGCCCTAGAGCAGGTGGAGGGTGTGGGTAAATGAGAAGGGAGAGCTCCGAGATAGTTGTGGGGGTCTTTTGGCTCTTCCTCGGGGCTGCCATTGAGTGTGGACGCTGCTCAGGCCCTGGTGCCCATATTGGTCTTCCTGCTGCTACGTTCAGTCCAGGGTCAGAGGCGAACCTCAGGCTCCTCGCTTAACCTTTTTCTTCAGGTCTTCGGCCGAACAAGCAGACCTTTAACCCTGCAGACACCAATGCCTTAGTAGCAGCTGTGGCCTTTGGGAAGGGGCTGTCTAACTGGAGACCTTCAGGCACCAGTGGTCCTGGCCAGCCAGGCCAGCCGGGAGCCGGCACAATCCTTGCAGGAGCCTCAGGATTACAGCAAGTGCAGATGGCAGGAGCTCCAAGCCAGCAGCAGCCAATGCTCAGTGGGGTGCAGATGGCCCAAGCAGGTCAAACAGGTAAGGTGGGCAGGGGAGGACCTTGAGCAGGGAAGTAGGGATTAGCTGGATGGAATGGGCCCCCGCCATCTCAGAGCTGGAGATTTTCTCCTTTTCTTTTTGAACTGTGACCCAGAAAACGCTTTTCAGGAGTAAAAATCTCATTTGCGACTCTGTAGCAGGCACCAGAGAAAAGAAGAACTTGGAGCAGCAGAGACTGCACCTCCCATCCCCATTATAGAGTTCTGTCCCAAATACCTTTCTGTCCCATTTACTCTGGGTATCATGTGTGCCGTCAGGGTCGTTTCTTAAAGAAAGCAATGGTCAGACTTCAGTGGAGACCATCTGGTAGGTGCACTGAGGATTGACAAATAGGCAACACGTACTCTTCTCTGTGTCTTGTCTTTCTGCTACCAGTTAATAGTTGCGAGAACGGTGTGGGGGAATTCAGATGTGAGTAGCTAGAAGAGGCATTTTCTTTCAAAGCTGTCTAAGAAAAGGAACAATTACAATTAGAGAGAACATACTCTTCCACCTGTGACATTAAATGGGGTCTAGCTGTTTTGTCTGGGAGTAGCTGAGCAGGAGACTGCTGGGGTGTGTTCTGACCCCTTCCCTATGAGCCCCTCCCTCCCAGACACCTTCAGGGAGAGGGCTGGTCAAGAACCACACCTCTGATCGTTGCTACCCGGGGCTGCAGAGGTTCTGAGATGAGAGTGGTGGCAGAAGGGAACTTGAGAGACCACCTGTCTGATTTATCATGAAAATCTTACTGTGCTTCAGGTATCTTTCTTTGTGTTCCTTTTAGGAAAAATGCCAAGTGGAATAAAAACCAACATCAAGTCAGCTTCAATGCATCCCTACCAGCGGTGAGTGTGGCTGGCAATCCCCACTCCCAGGTGCTCTTTGCAGAGGTGGGCAGTGAAATCGCCTTTTGCCCAAAGCTGAACTAGATGTGTACAATAAAAAGAACGTGAGCTTTCAGCACCAGACAAATCCCAGCTTCACCACTGACTGACTGTGTGACCTTGGGCAAGTGACCTAATTTTTCTGAACCCGTTTTCTTGTTTATAAATGGTGATACCTACCTCATAGGGTTGTTGTGAGGATTAAAATGAGAAAATGAATGTAAAACACTTAGTACAGTGTGTGAAATAATGGGTATTCAATAAATGATAGGTTTTTTTAATTTTTTTTTTATGTTGAGAGAGAGAGACAAAAGAGCGAGCAGGGGAGGGGCAGAGAGAGAGAGAATCCCAAGCAGGCTCTGCACTGTTAGCATGGAGCCCAACGCGGGGCTCAAACCCACAAACTGTGAGATCGTGACCTGAGCCAAAACCGAGAGTCAGATGCGTAACTGACTGAGCCACCGAGGCGCCCCAATAGCTTCTACAGCCACATTTCCCCACTGCCCTCCTCAATCCTCGATCCAGAACTTAGGGTGATGTGATAGTGCTTCGTGTCAGTGGTGAGGTGCTAGACACAAGGTCAGGGACTGCTCTGTTCTGTTTGAAAGCCTGTGCTGATTTTGTGCTCCTGGAAACTGTCACAACCTTTATGTGTCCTTAGAGGCACACTGGCTCTGTAGGCTTCCCTGCTCAGCTTCCATCCCGGCCGTCTCTCCAACCTGCAGGCAACAAGTCTTCTGAACTGGGTCTGACGGTCCAGCTGCAGCTCTGGTGAAGCTTGGGCCTGCTCTCTTCCTCTCCTCTAAGAAGCCAGTTCAGCTGTTCCCTGGGAGCTAGTTACAAAGTCCCCTGTCCTTTACCCCACTCCATACACATGAAAGATTTTCTTACTTTGGAGGGGGAGGGGAATTACACTTCACACCATGGTTCATCGGGGGTTAGTTATCCTCATAATAGTACCTAATTCCTGGACTCCAGCCAGGATGGCTTTCCTCCAGTCCACTGAAACTGTGATCAAACCTGAGCCAGACTGCTGGTGGGTGGGAACAGCCACCAGTACCTTCGCCTGCTTTTATAACGCTGAAGAGCAGAGTGAGTCAGGTCTGTAGCCTAAGGGGGCTCCTTTGCAGGCAGGGGCAGGTGTTGAGTCAGCAGAAGACCAAAGGGTTTCTCTGAATAAAATTATTAAAATTTTCTTTTTTAACGTTCTTCATATTTGAGAGACAGAATGTGAGCAGGGGAGGGGCAGAGAGAGAGGGAGACACAGAATCCAAAGCAGGTTCCAGGCTCTGAGCTGTCAGCACAGAGCCCAATGCAGGGCTCGAACCCACGAACTGAGATCATGACCTGAGCTGAAGTCGGCCACTTAACCAACTAAGCAACCCAGGTGCCCCTGAATAAAGTCATTTAAATTGATGGCCATTGTGTCAGTGTTAGCCAATAGCGATTTTTAAGAGAGCTATAGCGAGGTCAGAGACCATATGTCTGAGACTTTCAAAGTTGATGCAAGGCAATTCTAATTTGTTCTCTCTCAAACGTTTTCTTAGCTCTGATTATCTTTGATCTAAAAGTCCCGAGAGGTTTGAGGAGAGCCTGTTCATACCTTCCAGCTGCCTTTTTTCTGTTCTCTTCTGTCGCACACCAGTACTCTGGCATTTGTTTGGTGCCGGGCAGAGTTCTGCCAGGCTGTGGCAGCAAAGTACTGGAAAAGTGGTCCCTGATGTCACATCCATTCCTGTTCCATCAAGACAAGAAATGGTACCCATAAAGCGCACTAATCGTAGCACACAATAGCGCGGGGAGTCCTGTTACCAGCTCTAAGGCAATGCCGGACCTTTCCTCCATTTCAACAGTACTGCCTTATTGCTCTGTCAGCCCACTCGGGTGTTCCTGATCTTACCTTTTCCCTTCCTGCTGGAAGTCTCAGAGCTAACTATCATGTTGAGTGGAGTTCAAGTTGTACTTCTCCACAAGCCCTGGATCATCTTTTGGTGACTGCTGTCCTTAATTCCACCAGAAGATTCCCTCCTGTTGAGAGGTACCAACCCAAAGTGTCTTTGTTGTCCCAGGTAATCCCACCTTCATTTTCAACATTTGAAATGGGTTCCTTGTCCTCCCAGAGTGGAAATATCCTCCTGCCCCAACGGGAACACATGCAGGACCTCACCTACATCTGGTGACCTGAAGCACACATTCTTTACTCCGAAGGCACTCACATCTCTATATTCTGTACTCTGGAAGCACATGTTCTCATTTGCAACTCCCTCCCACCCCCAGATCCTCTGGAGTACACACACCTACGTAGCATCGCCAGCTTCAGGATTCGGACAGCCCAGTAAGCGCCTCAGTGGATGGTATCTCCCTCCGCTCACACACTCATTCCCTCAGGAGGGGATATATATGGAATTCCCTTTGAAGAAGAGGACAGGACCTGCTTACTTGTTCAGACGTAGGATTCGTAAAAGATGGCTCTCTTGCACCACTTTGATGGTGTTCCTGTTTCTGGCTGCTCTGTTTTGCCTGGGGACTGTTTTCTCCTACTCTTGGGGCCCCTGGAGAACGAGATTAGGTCATTGTACCCCAGGTTTATGCCTAGGATGGAGAAAGAAGCAACTGTGAAACCATGAGATCTTACTGCAGCACAGAGTTCACCCTGCTTAAGGCAGAAACTTACTTAATCCACGCTGACATGACAACCATTGTCTAGGACTGCTTCCTCTCCAGGTTTGCCCTGTGGCTGGCATTCTGTCATTGTGGATCCTCCTGTTTACTCATTGCTCCAGTCACCCTATTCTCTTTCTCTTACGACGTCTTTTGCTGCTCTACCTAGCCAACTTTACCTGACCTTGTACCTTCTTGTGAAACAGCTCCTTCCAGCTCTGTAAGAGATTCTGGCTTTAGGACTGAACTGGAAGGGCTGTATTACATACCTCCTGTGCCGCTGTCAGGCACGAAGCTGAACTCTGCAGGAATGCCCTAGTGCAAGGCTGGGCCCTTTTCCCACTCCATTCTCACCTCCCCCAAGCAGCTGGGAACAACCTCTCCCTTTGTCTGAGCTTCTTGTACAGAATAATCCCCCTTAGGGACAATGTATTCTCTGTGCCCTGTGGACACAGGAGCCGTGTGAGCTGATCCCAGCACCGGGCAGGACGGAGGCTGAATCCTTCCAAACGCCCACCCTGGGTCAAATCCTGATTACTATCCAGAGAAATGATTAAGGGGTGTACATTTTCTTCCATCTGTTCCAAATTTGGGAGGATAGCCTATTGAAGTTTAACAATGGGCCAGAGACTGCGGTCCCTTTTCGGATCACTCCTGAGAGTTCATCATGCCAACCCATGGAGGCTTGATGTCGCTCTGGCTTGATGGCCTCAAACACAGGGGGAACACTCGGAAAGAATTTGCCGCTCTTCACGTGGGGCTTTCTAGTTGAAACAGAAGGTACCCTCTCCAGCCCATCTGATGGGGGCCATGGCACCCATCCCTTCAATGTGTGTATGTGTCCCACAGGACATTCTTTTTCTCTTCCTCTCTTTTCCCCTTTAACTTCTCTCTCTCTTGTTCTTGAACTCCTGTGAGTCACTGAGGCACAGCTGGATCTCTATAATGGTCTCTACGTGAGTTCACAAGCTCTCAAGTGCCACCTACCATTTGGACATGGCAGCTTCCCCAAGTGCATTATGGACAAGGCACCTGACTTCCCTGGGTCTCCGTTTTCTCACCTGGCTGATCCCAGATATCCTTCCTAGCTTTAAAGTCTCTGGCCATGATTCCCAAGCCTACCTGTCCTGTCCCCATACATTTTGATTGTTTTCCACATTGCCTGACTATGTTGTATAAGATAAACTGAAATTTTCCTAGCTCAGCCCCTGAATCCTTCAACCCCCTACAAACTATTCCTGAAGCTCCCTCTCCATCACCTGCAAGTTAACATTACCAACCTCCCACTAGACCACTTCCCTCAATTGTTTTCTAGCTTGCACTGGTTCTCTAGTGAAAATTCATCAAAGAGGTGGTAAGTTACCCCAGAGACACATGGATGTATGTCAGAATTTACCTTCCCACTGTCCAGCATCCCTCTCTATCCCCTGGGCAAAATCTGTGTACCAGAGAGACTCTTCCAGTGAAAGCAGTGAATGACATTTTCCATGGGATGATAGCCTGTCCTACTGAATCAGAACCTGATCAGAGTCTGGGCTGCTCCCCTCCCTGCCTGCCCTCTGCCGCTCTACCACCTTCCCTTGTTCTCACCTGAATCTCCTGTCTGAGGTCTTCTCTTGCCCACACCCCTGCACGTGCACTACCTGTGTTTTTTGTTTGTTTGTTTTTTACTACTTTCTTTGGGCTGCTCCCATTTTCATGGCCCCCATTAGTGTCCTGTGTCTTTTCCATGTTACTCCTTGACCTCACCTGTCTACTCACTGACTCACAGCCAGGCTCTTGATATACAGGGCTCCAATCACTGCCTCTTCCTCCACCCCTCCCATTCCTTCTACCACTCCTCTGGAACTCCTCTTCAGACATCACTGTTGACCTCATGGCTAAATCCAGAATTATTTTCAATGCTCATCTTACGTCATCTCCATGGTGTTTGACAGTGCTGACCGTTACCTTTTTAACCTCACTAACCATTCCTTCTCTGCAGCTTTTGGCCTTCTGTCCTTCTGCCTGCTATCTCTGTGACCACTACGTTTTCTGTTTGTAACTCAAGTTTTATTTTCAGCTCAGAGCTCTCTGCCCCAGGATCCATAGGTACCTCAGATACTGCACGTTTAAGTCCAGCCATCCTTCCCTCTGAACCTGTTTTTTTTTTTTTTTTTTTTTTCCATTTCCTGGGTGTTTCCTAAGCCAAGTCTGTGGAAGCCATCCTAAACCTTTCATTCTCTGTGTCCCTGGTCCCCCCGTGACCCAGTCAGTTACCAAATTCTGTCCATTCTGGCTCCCCAATATCTGTTCATCCTGCCCTGCAACTTAGGCCTCTTTCCCCAAAAGAGTTTTTCAGACTCCCTGTCTCCCACTCCAATGCATATGCTGGGTTGCATTGGCTCCCGGGTAAACTGTGGATCTGATCACATTGCTCCCTTTGATGAAAATTCTTTTTTTTTAAATTTTTTTAAATGTTTATTTATTTTTGAGAGAGACAGAGACAGAATGCGAGTGGGTTAGGGGCAGAGATAGAGGGAAACACAAAATCTGAAGCAGGCTCCAGGCTCCGAGCTGTCAGCACCAGAGCCTGACGTGGGGCTCGAACTCACGAGCTGTGAGATCATGACCTAAGCTGAAGTTGGACACTCAACCGACTGAGCCACTCAGGCGCCCCTGATGAAAATTCTTTTGATAGTTCCCTCCTTGTGTTTCTTAAGCTGGAGTCCACATAGCTGGCAGGTTGGTGGGGCAGTGTGGCCAAGGCACAAAGTACCAGGATCAAATCATCCTGGTACACTCCTTTTCCCAGGAGTAATTTAAACAGACAACACAAAACTATCATGTATGCATTATGAAGAGAAAATATACTTCAAGGAAGTCCTACTCTGAAGGGATTCAGAGTAAGCTACCAGATTTCCTAGGATTCTTTCTTTCTTTCTTTGTTTCTTTCTTTCTTTCTTTCTTTCTTGTCATTACATTTACTTCATTGGAAAGGTTTGAAAAAGCAGCTCACATTTCCTGGAAAGGCAAGTAAGATTCTATGTGATCTAGCCCCCTGACTGCTTCTCCTGACTTATTTTCCATATTGTCCTGCCATCCACCCTATTTCCAAGCCGTACAAACTGCTGGAGATTTCCTGAAAGTGACAGACTCTTTCTGGCCTCCATTCCTTTATTCCCACTGTTCCCTCTGCAAGTAACACTTTGCCCCCATCATTCTGTCTGATGAATACCCAATCATCTTTCAAAATTCAGCCAATGAACCATTCCTCTGTGAAGCCTCCTGACAACCCAGTGTGTGCACAACTCAGCACCATGCCAACTAAGTAAGGTCAGTTACCTTCTCTTTTATGCTCTTTATTGTCCCCCAAGTTCAAGCAGACTGAACTGTCAGCGTTTGAATTCCAGTTCTTCTACCTGATAGCTAGCTGTGTGAGCTTTGGCATGAAATGTATGTATCTGGCACACTATAGCATCTGACCCATCATAAACGCTATAAATGGTAGCCGCTGCTATTATCAGTGGTATGATGATTTGGTTGACTTTGGAGAGAGAGTATAATGTAGCATTTTGGTTAAAAGAGCAGGTTCAGGGGGGCCTCAGTGGCTCAGTTGGTTGTGTCCCACTCTTGATTTTGGCTCAGCTCATGATCTCGTTCATGGGATTGGGTCTGCGTCAGACTCGTGCACCGATGGCGTGGAAGCGGCTCTGGATTCTCTCTCCCCCTCTGTCTGCCCCTCCCCTACTTGCAGTCTCTTTCTCAAAATAGATAAACATTAAAAAAAAAAAAAAAAAAGAAGAAGAAGAAGAACAGGTTTAGACTGCCTGAATTCCAATCCTAGCTGTGCCACTTACTAGCTGTTTGAACTTGGACAAGTTAATTTACCTCTCTCTGCCTCAACTTCCTTATTCCTGGGGATGATAATATTAGTGGCTAGATTGTAGAGTTGCTGTGAAGTTTAAATAGATGAATATGTACAAAGTGCTCAGAACGGTGCCTGACATTAGAAGCTCAATAAATATCCACTATCCTCAGGGTTAGTGTCTAGAACTCTAATGTCCAGAATTGCTGCTTAAACCAGTGATTCATGAGTCCCTTTGTGAGGACATAACTTCTCCCTTCTCTGCACCTTGTCTGTGCTCACACCATGCCTGCCATCAGGAACTCCGCCTCCTGAGAGATCCTCTGTGCACATCTGATCTCCCACCATGTCTCAGCTTGTGCAGAGCAGTCCCTGGAACATTTTTTCATTGATTTACCTGGTGTGATAAGTCGTTTTTGAATTTACTTTAGTGAATTTTCTTTCTCCCCCTTATTTGACACCTATACTCTCCCACTGTATACTTTGATTTTGATTTGAGACCGAATGATAAGCTCCCTACCTGAAATGTTCTGTGTCCTCCCTTCTAAACTGAATCTCGGGGCGCCTGGGTGGCTCAGTCGGTTAAGTGGCCGACTTCGGCCCAGGTCATGATCTCGCGGTCCGTGAGTTTGAGCCCTGCATCGGGCTCTGTGCTGACAGCTCAGAGCCTGGAGCCTGTTTCAGATTCTGTGTCTCCCTCTCTCTGACCCTCCCCCGTTCATGCTTTGTCTCTCTCTTTCTCAAAAATAAATAAACGCTAAAAAAAAATAATAATAATAATAAAAAAATAAACTGAATCTCTTCCCTGTCCAAACCAGCTGAAGACTCAGTCCACAGTCTGCCTACATTCTGACCCTACTGGGGGCCCTACTTCTCTCCTAGATGTCTCTGTGCAGGTGTGATGAGTTCCCTCCTCATCTGTCCACGCTTACTAGGTCTGTGCTCAGGTCTTCCTGGGCTGCTGTTGTCTCCCCCGCAGGCCCCCCCGACGGGGGAATCGCAGTCCTGAACTCCTGCTTGCTTCTCTTCACACTCCCACCAGTTCCACGGGCCTTGTTTTGTCACGGCAACTCCACTGTTCTTGCCGTTACGCTGGAAGTGCTTCAGCCGGGCCTTGACCTGGGAGTCAGGTGCTGTCTCACACCTCCACAGCTTGCACATGCCCTACCCTCTCCTTGGACTGTCTGCCCTCTCTTTTTCCTGCTCCAGGCCCCCTTGTTCATCTAGTGAATAACTCATCCTTCCAGTGTCCCCTCCTCCTGTCGTCTACCACCTCCTGACCTGGACACATGTGTTGTGTGACCTTAGGCAAGTTACTTCACTTCCAAGAACCTCAGTTTCCACCTCTGTAAGATGGGATTATAGCACAGACCTCAAAAGCATACCTGCAACTGAACATATTGAAAATTAAAGTTAAAACTTTAAGTAGCTCTTGCTTTTCTACAGGGTAAGGTCCAAACTTCTTAGAAGGGCATAAAAGGCCATTTGGGTATAGAGTCAGCATTCAAATGCAAACTCCTATTCTCTTCCCTTACTCTCTCCTGAGGAATTTCATTTTTATTGCATCATGGCCTGTTAGACTGCTTTGGTTACAGCACATTAAATTTAAACTAGCCTAACCAAAAACAAAGGAAGGGGGCCCCAATTGTGTTTGGGTTATGTGGATGGGAAGTTGAAAGGTGACTGGCTGTAGGTGGGCTCAAGGGTCCGATGTCCGATGGATGTCCGATGTCCGAGGCTCTGTCTCTGTGTTTTTCCACTTGACAACAGAAGGGGCTCATCTCACCCAGGAACTCTGATTATTCTTGCTGGGATTCTGTGCCATGAGGAGCTTCGATTGGGGGAAGTGGGAAGAACCACGATTCCCAGGCCAATGGAGTGGGGCAGGGATTCCCTAAAGGAAATGAAAGCAAG